CTTTTGCATTATTATTCTAGTGGAAAGTATGCATTAAAATAAGAGAAATCCTCTCTTAAATTAAGAATATTTTTAAATAATATTACTCTTAATGGAAAAATATTTTCCTCTTATTTTAAGAGGAAAATTCCTTTTTTACGAAAATCCTCCTGAATCAAGAATATTATACTCTTAATTCAAGAAAGAAATGTTCCTCTTATTTATTAAGAGGAAAATTCGTAATCGAAGAGTATTTTTCCTCTTATTTTAAGAGGAATATTTTTAAATAAAGAATAATCCTCTTAAAATAAGAGGAATTCTTTTTGCATTATATTCTAGTGGAAAATATGCATTAAAATAAGAGAAATCCTCTCTTAAATTAAGAATATTTTCAATAAATAAATAAATTTTTTTTTCGGTTTATATTAAAAAATATATATATATTATATAAAATATATTATATATAAAAAAAAATATATTTATATATAAATAATCGTGTATTTAAAGCTCTTTGGTATTATAGAGGAGATATCGCGTTGAAAAATGATTTACAATGTCTCGTATATATATATATATATATATATATCGCGAGCGGTATGTTTGATCATATCTCCAGACGTCTTATCGAGCATGTCGCTTTAAAATGTGCTCTCACCTGTTGTTTCAGCATTATAAGTTTTCCCTTTTAGCATCTCCTCATCATCATATATATGTGTATATATCTATTTATAATCGCTTCATCGACCATACCATTATAATCATGTAATCGCGTTCATATACATCATTATAATCTCTCAGTAAAAAAAAAAAAATTTATAATTATGTATAGATATATATAGATAAATACTAAAATGACATTGTCCCTCATTGATCAAGTTTTGTAATTATTATAAATTCATTCCTTCTTTTATATATCCGTTTTTTAACAATCGAGGCAATTATCCTTATCAGAAAAACGCATGTCGCATATATATATATATATATATATATATATATATATATATATATATATATATATATATATATATATACACATACACACATATACATATAAAGTAACTTAAAACCAACAAAATCCTATAGTTTACTTAACCTATAATTAACATTAGGTTATATAAAGTATCCTTAAATAACGATAAGTTAAAGATAATATAACCCAAAGTTAACATATTCTAAGGTTAACATAACCTATACAGTTAACAGAACCTAAAGTCAACATAATCTAAAGTTAACACAACAACCTAAAATCAACATAAACTAAAGCTAACACAACCTAAAGTCAACACAACCTAAAGTCAACATAATCTAAAGTTAACACAACCTAAAGTCAACATAATATAAAGTTAACACAACCTAAATTTAATATAACCTAAATTTAATATAACCTAAAATCAATACAACCTAAAGTCAACTTAATCTGAAGTTAACACAACCTAAAATCAACATAAACTAAAAGTTAACACAACCTAAATTTAATATAACCTAAAATCAATACAACCTAAAGTCAACTTAATCTAAAGTTAACACAACCTAAAATCAACATAAACTAAAGTTAACACAATCTAAAGTTATGTTACTTGAAGTTGTTATGTTAACTTTATAGATTTTCTTAAATTTAGATTAAACTAACTTTAAATTACGTTGACTTTAGGTTATGTTAACTTTAGGTTATATTAAATTTAAATTGTGTTCACTTTATATTATGTTGACTTTAGGTTTTGTTAACTTTAAATTTCGTTAATTTCAGGTTATTTTAACAGTAGGTTGTATTACAAGTAGGTAGTGTTAACTTTAGGTTGTGGTGACTTTAGGTTATATTAACTTTGGGCTACTTTATATATATATATTTATATTTATATATTTATGTATGTATGTATGAAGTATATATATATATATATAAGTGCGCACATTTAATCCAGAGAAAAGTATATACGCTAATGACACTCTCCTTTGCAGATGTCGGATTGCAATGGAATTCTTTTTTTTATAGTCAATTAAAATTTCAGGAAATGAGACCCGTTTTTTTTTTTTTTTTTTTTTATTGTATCTTTCCCCCTTTTTTTTCAAGGCGACGCAGAGCGATTAAAGATATGCGGCAAAGGGAGCTAAAACCAATTTCGTGTTCTTCATCACTATATGTATATAAATATCCCCGCGCGCGTTCTCTCGCCTTTCATTATATATATATATATCCCGTTTGGTAATGTGCCCACAATTTTTTTTATTTTTATTTCTCCATTCATACAAAGCGATGACCAGTGATACAAGAGTTCGTATTAGAATCCCCGTTGCGAACATTCACCAGCGTAGAAACCGGTGGCTCTTTATCGAGAGATAACATCTCGCGGGTCCAGATGTTCTTCTATTTTTTTTTTTTTTTTTTTTTATATTAGGCTGGGGTTATATTAAGGTAAAGTTAATTTCACCTTAAGTTAATATTCACGTTTAAAGTTATATTAACATTATAGGTTACAGTGTATAACCACAAAATTAACATTAACCTAAAGTTTAACATAACCTAAAAGTCAATATGCAGTAATCTTAGCTAAAAATAACCTTAAGTAACACTAACTTAAAGTTAAAATAACCTAAAGTTAACACAACTTTAAGTCAATGTAATTTAAAGTTAACATAATGTTAAGTTAACATAATCTAAAGTTAACACAACTTAAAGTTAACATAATCTAAAGTTAACACAACTTAAAGTTAACATAATCTAAAGTTAACACAACTTAAAGTTAACATAATCTAAAGTTAACACAACTTAAAGTTAACATAATCTAAAGCTAACACAACTTAAAGTTAACATAATCTAAAGCTAACACAACATAAAGTTAACATAATCTAAAGCCATAACACAACCTACAGTTAACATAACTTCAAGTTAATATAACCTAAAAGTTAACAGAATATAAGGTCAATTAAACCTAAAGTTAATGTAACTTAAGATTAACAAAATCCTAAAATTAATATAACCAAATTAACTTAATTAACATTAGATTACATTAACCTAAATTAACAGCAACTTAAAGTTAACATAACCTTAAGTCACCATAATCTAAAATTAACATAGCCTTAAGTCACCATAATCTAAAGTTAATACAACCTAAAGTTAACATAATCCAAAGTACGTTTAATCCAACGTTAAATATAACTTTGTGTTATATTAACTTTAGGTTTAATTAACCTTAAATTTTATTTAGATTATGTTACATTAACGTTAGGTTTTGTTAACCTAAGCTTTCATTAATTTTTTCATATTATTATTTTGACTTTACGTCATGTTAACTTTAAGTTATACTAACTTTAAGTTATATTAACTTTATGTTTTGTTAACCTTATATTATGTCGACTTTAGGTTATGTTAACTTTAGGCGATGTTAATCTGTACGTTATAATAATTTTAGGTTATGTTAACTTGAGATTTTGTTAAAAATAAGTTTAACTAATTTTGAAATAATTGGCTTTAAGTTATGTCAACTTTTGATATGTTAGGTTATGTTAACTTGAAGTTATGTTAACTCTAGACTTTATTAACCTTTGATTATGTTGACTTTAGGCTATGTTAACTTTAGAATATGTTGACTTTAAGTTGTGGTAACATTAAGTTTACGTTAACTTTAGTTTGCGTTAACTTTAGTTTGCATTAACTTTAGTTTGTGTTAACTTTAGTTTGGATTAACTTTAAGTTTATGTTAACTTTAGTTTGGATTAAATTTAGTTTACGTTAACTTTAGTTTGTCTTAACTTTAGTTTGCGTTAACTTTAGTTTGCATTAACTTTAGTTTGGTTTAACATAAGTTTACGTGAACTTTAGTTTGCGTTAACTTTAGTTTATGTTAACTTTAGTTTGCATTAACTTTAGTTTGCGTTAACTTCCGTTTTGCGTTAACTTCAGTTTGCATTAACTTTAGTTTGTGTTAACTTTAGTTTGAATTAACTTTAGTTTACGTTAACCTTAGTTTACGTTAACTTTAGTTTGCGTTAACTTTAGTTTATGTTAACCTTAGTTTACGTTAACTTTAGTTTCTGTTAACTTTAGTTTGCGTTAACTTTAGTTTATGTTAACTTTAATTTACGTTAACTTTAGATTATGTTAACTTTAGGTTACGTTAACTTTAGTTTACGTTAACTTTAGTTTGTATTAACTTTACTTTGCGTTAACTTCAGTTTACGTTAACTTTAGTTTGCATTAACTTTAGTTTGGATTAACTTAAGTTTACGTTAACTTTAGTTTGTGTTAACTTTAGTTTATGTTAACCTTAGTTTACGTTAACTTTAGTTTGCGTTAACTTTAGTTTGCGTTAACTTTAGTTTATGTTAACTTTAGTTTGCGTTAACTTTAGTTTATGTTAACTTTAGTTTACGTTAACTTTAGATTATGTTAACTTTAGGTTACGTTAACTTTAGTTTGTATTAACTTTAGTTTGCATTAACTTTACTTTGCGTTAACTTCAGTTTACGTTAACTTTAGTTTGCATTTACTTTAGTTTGCGTTAACTTTAGTTTACGTGAACTTTAGTTAACGTTAACCTCAATGTACATACAATTTAAATTAACTTTATAGAAGTTACATAACCTCTAAACTAAAACATTATACTAAAATTAAAATCGCTAATCAATGTCCCATTATTATCTATATCACATACCCAAATACACCTATATATGGTAAATTTTACAATACTCTAATTAATCTTTGCCTGAGTTATGCTTTTCTCGAGAAGAGTATGGACCGGCATATATATATATATATATATATATATATATAATCATAAAAGGAGCCGTGTACGTCCGTGAAATGAATGTCTAAATTCATGGTACAACAAAAGAGAAAACATGCGAGGGGAGAGGGGCCAAAAGAACTTGAAAAAAATGCGCCTTTCTTTCATTCTTTCTTTCAAGCTAAAAAGAGAAGCAAGTCGATGAGAGTTCTGAGAATTAGTATATATATATATATATATATATATATATATATATAATATAAAAAAGAAGTCTCCTTCTTTTTTTTCTATATATCTTACCCCGCGTTCAGCTTGTAACTGATTTTCGTGGCCCATAAAATTTGGCATGGACGTGAGGTTATAGCCAAGACCTCGACAAAAGGAAACGCTTAGCCTTTCGCATTTTGTGTCAGTGCCAGGATGATGACCAGTGTGGTAAATGCCCCAGGCATTTACGAGGCTCGTAATTGCCATTAGGGCCAACGTTGTCCAAATTAGATTCATTTTTGGTTTTAGTCTGTTTTTTTTTTTTTTTAAATTTTTTTTTCTTTCTTTCTTCTTAAAGACGAAACTGAGGAATCCAGTTATTCACTAAATTTACACTATCCATTGAAATCACTTTTTTACAATATTCCATTTTGTTTATTATCATCATCTTCTTTTTCTTCTAGTTTTCATTTAAATTAACTTTTTTTTTTGCACTACTTTTTGCCACCAAAACTAAAATTGAAAACAAAAATTCCCTATATAAAATAGGGAATTAAGTAAAATAATAACAATTTATCGAAAGTAAGTTTGTTTATATAAAACTATAGTTTAGTCACTGTCACTTTTTTTTTTACAAAACTGGAATTATTTATTGTATACTTTATTATTATTATTTTTTGTTATTATTATTTTTATTTATTTTGCATGTTAACGGGCATTATAAAAAAGAAAAATTAGCCCCTTGGTACTTTTGTTATTATTATTATTATTATTATATTATATAGAGATGATAATAAAAAATAGATCACTTTTATTATAACAATAATAATAATTTATTGTATAATTATTATAAATTTTTTTTCGTTTTTTTTTTTTGATAAGTAATTGTTATAAATATAATTTATATTATTGTTTAATTGGTAAAAATTTTTAGATTTCACTTTGTTGAAGAAAAAATTAAAAAAAATTTTTTTTTTTTTTTTTTAACTTCAATCACATTGAATTCGAGAGAGGAAAGAAATTTTTTTTCGACCACACTTTACAAAAGCGCGGTTCAGACTGAAGAAGTTGAAGATCCACAAGTATATGGAGAGTTATATAGAAGAGAAAGAAGAATTCTTGCGTTCGGCGTGTTTCGGCGATATTCGGACGAGATCGTATTCTATATAGGCTTATATGTGAGGAAAATTATATATATATATATAGTGAGTGCGTGAAGGGCAATAATAACAATAACAACAACAAGAAACTCACCCTAAATTTACAATTTCCACTATAATGCAAAATTTACTCAACCCCATAATTTTTTTTTTTAATTAAAAAAAAAAAATTTTTTTTATTATTAATTTTTTTTATTTTATTCATTTTTTTAATTCTTATTTCAAATATTCATTAAACCTATATTGAACCAACTTTGAGCCAAGATTAGAACTACTTTGTAATTTACACTAATTTAAAAGTATCAAATTGAAACCAAAAATATCAAATTGATACGAATTTTTATATCAATTTGATATTTTTGGTATCAATTTGATACTTTTAAATTAGTGTGCTAGATTGAACCTAGTTTGAACCTAGATTGAACATACTTTAAACGTAGGTAGAACCCAGTTTGAGCCTTGATTCAATATACTTTGAGCCTATAATGTACCTAGTTTGAGCCTACATTACACCTACATTACACCTACTTTGAGCCTACACTAAACCTACTTTCAACCTAGATTGAAAATACTTTGATCCTAGATTGTACCTAGTTTGAGCATAGATTAAATCTACTTTGAGCCAAGATTGAACCTAGATTAAACTAACTTTGAGCTTAGGTTGAACCTAGTTTAAGCCTAGATTGAACCTAGATTTAAATAACTTTGAGCTTAGGTTGAACCTAATTTGAGCCTAGATTGAACCTGATTGAATTAACTTTAAGCTTAGGTTGAACCCAGTTTGAGCCTAGATTGAACCTAGATTGAACTAACTTTGAGCTTAGGTTGAACCCAATTTGAGCCTTGATTGAATATACTATGAGTCTATAATGTATCTAGTTTGAGCCTACATTACACCTACTTTGAGCCTATACTAAACTTACTTTCAACCTAGATTGAAAATACTTTGAGCCTAGATTGTACCTAGTTTGAGCATAGATTAAATCTACTTTCAACTAGATTGTATCTAGTTTGAGCATAGATAAAATCTACTTTAAACCTAGATTGAACCTAGATTGAACCTAGATTGAACCTAGATTGAACCTAGATTAAACTAACTTTTAGCTTAGGTTGAACCTAGTTTGAGCCTAGATTGAACCTAGATTGAACTAACTTTGAGCTTAGGTTGCACCTAGTTTAAGCATATATTTAACCTAGATTGAACCTAGATTGAACTAACTTTGAGCTTAGGTTGAACCTAGTTTGAACCTAGATTGAACTAACTTTGAGCTTAGGTTGCACCTAGTTTAAGCATATATTGAACCTAGATTGAACTAACTTTGAGTTTAGGTTGAACCTAGTTTAAGCCTAGATTGAACCTAGATTGAAATAACTTTGAGCTTAGGTTTAAACTAATTTGAGCCTAGATTTAACCTAGATTGAAATAACTTTGAGCTTAGATTGAACCTAGTTTAAGCCTAGATTGAACCTAGATTGAACTAACTTTGAGCTTAGATTGAACCCAGTTTGAGCCTTGATTGAATATACTATGAGTCTATATTGTATCTAGTTTGAGCCTACATTACACCTACTTTGAGCCTATACTAAACCTACTTTCAACCTAGATTGAAAATACTTTGAGCCTAGATTGTACCTATTTTGAGCATAGATTAAATCTACTTTGAACTAGATTGTATTTAGTTTGAGCATAGATTAAATCTACTTTGAACTTAGAATGAACCTAGAATGAACTAACTTTGAGCTTAGGTTGAACCTAGTTTGAGCCTAGATTGAACCTAGATTGAACTAACATTGAGCTTAGGTTGAACCAAGTTTAAGCTTAAATTAAATATATTGTGAGCCCTGATTGAACATATTTTCAACCTAGGTTAAAACTACTTTAATCGTAGATTGTACCTATATAGTTTAAGCCTAGATTGAACCTAGTTTGAACCTAGATTAAATCTATATTGAATCTATTTTAAGGCAACATCAGACTACTTTTAGCCTGAAATAAACCTAGTTTGAACCTATATAATACTTCTCTTAACATTTTTAGACCCTGCTTTGACCCTACATTGAGCCTAGATTAAAGATAGTTTCAGCCTAGTTTAAATCTAATTTGACTCTATGTCGAATCTACTTTAGATAGAAACTCTAGATAGAAATTAGTTTGAGCCTATATTGAATCTACTTTAAGCCTAGGTTGAACCTACTTTAAGCCCAGATTGAAAATATTATTTGCCTAGATTCAACCATGATTATTCTTAGATTATACCTAGTTTGGAGATTATATAGGAGCTACTTTGAACAAACACTGGGCCTTAGTTTGAATCTATAAATAAGACTTCTGTTACTCTTTATGGGTACCTAAATTGAACCTTGTTTGAGCCTAGATTAATCCTAGATTGAACCTTCTTTGAGCCTAGTTTGAGCCTAGATTAATCCTATATTGAACCTTCTTTGAGCCTAGTTTAAGCCTCTATTAATCCTATATTGAACCTTCTTTGAGCCTCGATTGAGCCTCGATTAATCCTATATTGAACCTTTTTTGAGCCTAGTTTGAGCCTAGATTAATTCTATATTGAACCTTCTTTGAGCCTAGTTTGAAACTAGTTTGAGCCTAGATTGAACCTTTTTTGAACCTAGTTTGAGCCTAGATTAATCCTATATTGAATCTTCTTTGAGCCTAGTTTGAACCTAGTTTGAGCCTAGATTGAACCTAGTTTGAACCTAGATTAATCCTATATTGAACCTTCTTTGAGCCTAGTTTGAACCTAGTTTGAGCCTAGATTGAACATTCTTTGAACCTAGTTTAAACCTAGTTTGTGTCTATACATTAGGTCAACTTTGAATCTGCATTGCACCTAATTTACCTCTAAATTAGACCCTTTTTGCTTCTCCTTTGAATCGCAACAAATGATTTCGAAAGTTGATGACAGTTTTTTTTTTTTTTTTTTTTTTTTTTTTTTTTTTTTTTTTTTTTTTTGATCAATATATAATGTATTTTTGATTTTAATTGAAAAAAAGATGAAGAAAAAGACACAGCTTCTGCAACAACAAAACAACAACAAAAAATCACAATACTGAAGAGAATCGTCGAGATAATATGAAATAACATTTGAAGAATAAAACAAACGACCATCATAATATATAGTCTATAGGTCGAGAGGAAGATTTAAAAACTCGTCTCTCGATTTCTTTCGCACGTCGTGACGAATTAAATTGGACCAATGCTATATACGCGCATTAAAGGCACACGCAGTGCGTATATATATACCTATATAGAAAAACTTGGAAATCTTCTTTTTGATTGTTGGAGCACAAATATATATCTCTGTCTGTGATGTATACAAGACAAGCCGCACTGCAAAAGACACTAAATACACACACAAACATATATATATATTATAAAAAGATTTCGCAGCCGCTGTTTCAGAAATTTTGACCTAGGAGTGGAGGGAGTCCCCTCTCCTAAATTTTGAGGTTATGTTCGTTTCAAGACTCTGAATATAGCCGCAAGTCCCCTCCCCTCCCCTGCCTGAAATGACATAAATTTTGAGGTTATGTTTGTTTCAAGGCTCTGAATATAGCCGCAAGACCTCCCTCCCTCCCTCCTCTCATTTCCCCTCCTCCGCCAAAAAATGACCTAAATTTTGAGGTTATGTTTGTTTTAAAACTCTGAATAAAACAGTAAGTCCTTCCCCCTTTCCTCATGTCTCTCTCTCCGTATTTCCCGCCAAAAATGACATAAATTTTTGAGGTTATGTAAATTTTAAGACTTTCAATATATAGCCGCAAGTGCGGAGGTGAAGTTCCCGCCATAAATGACTTGAATTTTAAGGTTATATTCGTTTTAAGACTTTTTAATAATTTATTCGTTTTTAGGCGCAATTTCATTGAAATTATTTTTAAAAATAATTTCTTAATGTCGATTTTAATTTAATTTAATTATTTATTTATTTATTATTAATTTAATTAATTTATTAATTAAAATTTAATAATTTTAATTTTAAATAATATTTATTCAGATTTCAATGAATTTGTAATAATAATTCTTTGAAATAGGTATGGTTCATTTGGAAAAATAAGATCAATGGAAAATTAAAAAAAAATGATCAAAACAGGGGGGAGAAGCCCCCCTAGTGTATATATATATGGGACGTTCCGCGTCAACCGGATCAGTGCTCTGTACATAATTGTATGGGACCAATTGAAACGTTTAAGGTCTTAAAATGTTCATCTCGAAGTACTTTAACATTTACAATATGGCCTTTTTAAAAATCCAAAATGGCGGCCGAATTATGACACATTATATGGCTGAAATGTAGAAAATGTATAATTAAAGCATTATTTAAGAAGCAAAAAATGTTCGAATTGGCATTAAATTGATCATCAACAGTGCTAGGGGTTTACAGAATCAAAATATGCTGACACTTTTCAAAATTTTCAAAAATACAAAATGGCAGATCCAAAATGGAGGAATAGTTTTAAAAATATGACTCAATTTACTCGAAACTTAGGACTCGGGGGTTTTTGGGGTCGCTGATTACAAATCTGAACTCAGTTTTCAAAAATACAAAATGGCGGATCCAAAATGGCGGACAGTTTTTTGAAAAAATTACCCAATTCACTCGAAACTTGTGACTCGGGGGTTTTTGGGGTCGCTGATTACAAATCTGAACTCAGTTTTCAAAAATACAAAATGGCGGATCCAAAATGGCGGACTGTTTTTTGAAAAAATTACCCAATTCACTCGAAACTTGTGACTCGGGGGTTTTTGGGGTCGCTGTTTACAAATATGAACATAGTGTAGATATGTGATTTACGAAAAATAATTTTCAAATTTCCAAGACCTCATTGAAAAATTGTTTTTGTTTTTAAAAATTAAAAAAGTACTTTTGGGGG